GCCGCGCCGCCGCACTCCAGCCGGGCAAGCCGACGCTCGTTCTCTTCGTACTCACGTTCCGGCCGCTTGGCAGCCGCGCTGAGCCGCCCTTCTTCCCGCACGCCAGCTGCCTCTGGGGGCGCACGCAAGCCGACAGCCTCCGCCACAGCGCGCGGCAGAGCAGCCACCATTCTTTCCAACAGCAGCACAGGCCAGTGCATTTTCAGCTCTCGTCCTCGCAGCAGAACCTTCGCCAGCGCCAGCAGCAGCAGCAGCAGCAGCCGAGGCTTTCATTGGCCGTCCCCGCCAGCCTGGACGCTGACGACGGCAGCGATGACGCCCGGGAGGAGGAGGCACGCAACGGCCTGGGCGGCAGGGCATCACGCAAGGACAGAGCGCATGAGGCTGTGGAGATAGTCGAGTTGTACGAGAAAGGGGAAAGCGCCGACGCGTGGAATGTGAGAGCCTAAACGCGCGAGAGGAAGGGAAAGGAGGGCGCTGACACTTTTTCTTTTCGCTACGCCTTTGGACACGTTGTCGCCGCCAGGGCCTCACGCTCGACGAGATCTCCGCGCTGGCCAACACGCAGTCCCAGCCGCAACAGCAGACTCGGCATATTCAGCAACAGCGCCCCGTCGCCACGCCCCACGCAGCAGAAGAGCCGACCACTGCGCCGACGACGCCTATGCCTATGCTTGCGCCTCTACCAGTGCTGGTGTGGGAGCCTCCGCGACCGGAGAAAGAGAAAGCGGGAAGCTCGTCCCCCGCGGCGGATGTGAGCGAGCGAGCTGCTGGGCCTCCGCAAGATGCGCCCGGGCCCGCTCAGGCCCGCGCTGCCGCCGCCGGGTCAGAGCAGCAGCCGCCGACGAACAAAAAGCGCAAATCGGCAAAAGCAGAAGCAGAGCAATATCCCGCAGCGGCGGAGGGACGCGAGCGTGCTAGTAAGAAACGAAGGAACGGAGCAGATAATGGTGATAACGATAATGGATCCAGGGATGTCCGGCGGAAGACGAAAGACCTCTCGTAAGGTCCTGGCGCCGACCCAAGAGACTCGATCGTCAATGCCGTACTCCTGTTCTCCGATACCCTCACGCGCAATGTACTGCGGGCTTCTATAGACGAAGGTGGGTGGAGGTACAATGTAGCGCTGTTCATGCACATGCTAACCAGAGAAAGAGCATGCGGCTGACAAAGCCTTTCGTACCCCGGCGCGACGCAGAGTGGCGCTGCCCAGTCGCCGGCTGCGCGTTCTGCTCGCTCCGACTGGCAGAGCTCATTGCGCACGCACACGCATGTCGGCCTGCTGCGCACGTACCCACGGCAGCGGCAGAGTTCGCACCTCTCATATTTCCGCACGCGGGTACATCAATGGCCGCGCTCGGTGCACCGGCAGCGGGCGGGCGGCACTCAACCGTAGCCGACGTGACCAGCGCGTCGGCTGGCAGGCTGCATGCGATGGCCGCCGCGGAACCAGATGCGGTCATGGACGCGGAGGCAGATGCAGGCGCAGTAGCGACCGCTGCGTTCGCGTGCGAGCTCGCAGCGGGTCGCGAGAAAGCGCGGCGGCGGATCGCGAAGGTGGACGGGTCGATGAAGGCCTCGTGTGTCGCGAGGCGCACGAGGATCAGCAGCCTCCTACCCTCCATCGACGTAGCTTGCAATGATGCCGCGTCCTCAAGCAACAGGCGACGAGGCGGGTGGCAAGAAGGGCAAACCGGCATCGAGTGGTCTCTTCGAAATATGGTGGCCCCCGTTTATAGTGTAAAGTATGGTACAATTGTAGTGAAACAGCCGTTCTTGCTGGGTGGTTCAGAAGTCTACACTTCCCGTTTCCTTGATGGGCGACCGGATCAGGATAATCTTCTATTCGTACTAAAGCTCGTCGCCGAACCGGTTCTGGATGTCCGCTTTGATCCAGCGCACACACTGATCGACGGATGCCTGACAGGTGCGCAAGAACCTCTGCATGCTCTCAGCTATGGACTGCAGCCACGTTCGGACGTGCTCCGCGGGCGCTTCCTCCAGTGCCGGTCCTCTTGGCACGACCTTGCTGTGTCGACCGGGTCGTCGATTGGCTGATGACGACGATGACGGCGCCAACGTCTCTGTCGAAGCGCCCGCTATCCGCGGCGCGTCGTCCGGTGGAATCTGCGCGGGTGCGTCGGATGCAGATGGGGCCTGATCCAACCCTTGCTTGTGGTGTGGCGCAGATGCTGGCGACGAAGCAGGCGCTCCATTTTCTGCCGCCGTCTCAGCCAGACGCTTCTGGTATAATGCTCGGAACGTCTCCACCGCTTTGAGCTGCAGAAATAAAAGTTGGAGGGTGCCTTTGCGTCAGCCTACAGCCCCTTGTGACCCGAAGTTGCCATGCGAGGTACAAACTCACGCTTTCAGCAAAGCGATGCACAGTATTAATGAGCGCAACGAGCTCACTCCGCAGCAGTGCGGGCTGGGCCGTGTACGGATGTGCATGCTCCGCATCGCCGCGTTGGTGTGCAGCTGCCGTCCGGTCAACATCGCCACTACTACCGCTGGTCCCTCCGATGGAAAAGAGGACCTTGAGCGCGGTGGCCAGGCCGTTGGTCTGCAGCTTTCCCCATAGTCGACACTTGTCGCAGCCGACGCAGTCCATAATGCTGCTGACATTCCTGAACTTCTGCTTGAACTCATGCTTCAACCCACGCGCGTTCGGGCCGGCGAACATGCTCTGCTCGTTGAACGTCGTTGGGATGTTGCTTGCAGACTGCAGCAGCGACGCCAGGTCCGCGCGCGTCAAGGCGTCGTCGATCTCCTGGCCGGGCAGCATCAGACGCTCCAGGTCGCCGTAATGTTCGTCAACGCATGCCAAGGCGCGCAGCAGCAGGACGTAGTTGAAGTAGACATTCTGCAGCCGCTCCGGGTGCTGGGCAATGCGGGCGATGAAACAATCGAGGTTGGGGCCCCACACGCCCGTCATTTGGTCTAAATACTCGTCGCAGATGTGGATCGAGATCGAGGCGTGCAGACCAGAGACGATGCGGTAGAAGATGCGCTTCTCCAGGCATACTTCCGAGTCGCCTGGATCTGTTGGGCCTTGCAAGGAGGACATGAGTGATTGCAGCGGGTGGTTCGAAGATACATCGCTGCTTGAACCCAAACTGCCGCTGCTTCCGCTCGACAGACCCACGCCGAATCCAGAGCCCGAGTTGCCAGACGATGCGAGATGCGGAAAGCCTGAACCGCCACCGGACTGCTTGGAACGGGGTGGCTCGATGAAAGCCCCAGCAGCGCCAAAGCAGTTCTCCTCATAGATGCTCTTCCACACTCGATTGGCCGAGGGTCCGGCGTAGCCTGTGAAGCGCTCCGGATTCTTGAGCAGATCCACGTAGACTGCCTCGTCCGAGTTCTCATCTTCCCAGTGGCAGAAGTCGGCCTCATGGCAGGTGCACTTGTCCTGACCACTTCCGCTGTCGTGCACTTCCGAATCGGGCGTAGTCGATACAGAGGACAACTGGCTTGTGCGATACTTCTCTGGAATTTCAGACTGCATGGGAGGGGAGTAGGCACAGACTTCAGTTCAACGATGGTACGTGCGGCTCACAGCAGCGGTTGAGGGACACACCTCTTCAGCCTTCTGTACAGTGCAGTCGCGATTCATGCAAAGGCCATTGTCGAACCAAAATGGGCATTCCTTGTACAGATCAGTCTTGTAGTATCGAAAATACTTTTGCTGAACTATGCTCGATAGGCGGTCGAAAAAGTCGGCATTGATCGCCTCGACTGTCTCATAGTCGCATTGGGCATCCTTGATGTGTCCTGTAGGCCGACAGATACCCACGCTTCCGGACTGCAGATCGTCCACCGAGCCGCCTCGCGACGGCGAACTTGAGGAGGAAGTGAGAACTTCTTGTAGAAGACCGGCTCGAGGAAAGTTCGGCGGGTTAAAGCCTGCTCCAACCGAGCTTGCAGCGCTGTTCTGGTGGCCGAGGACTGTGGCGACGCAGGATAGGAGCAGTGCAGCGAGCAGTAAGAACCAGCCCATTGTCATGCGTCTGACAAGCGGCACCCTTGGGCGACGGTTCTCCGGGAGCATGGCCATCGACAATGTTCTTCGATTCTGCAAGCCTCGCTGTCCACAAAGAAGGGAAGGGTAACAATCTTCTACCAGGATGAGCAGGACCTGCGTCTGGGGTGGGACATCGCGTTTGGTAGCAGCGGTAAGGGGTCTCTAAGCCGAAGAGGACATGGCTCCACCCGCTGTTAGGAGCAGAACAGCTCTATCTTCAGGAAATAACTTTCCTCTGTATCCGTTACTCCGATGGACCTGGTTGTTGCTCGTTGCTGTGAGCTGCAAATGGACACCAAGCCGTGCAGGACAGCGGTGGAACAAGGGGGTTACTAAATGATGAGTGTCAGAGGCTGCTGACCTTCATTGGAGAGTTGTGCTCCACGTCACGCATTATTGCGCACTGTTACTTGCAAATAGGGTTGCTTAAGACCGATGCCTGATGAAGCCGATAGAAGATAGGTGTACGTGTCAGGCGTAGCGTGAGCTCAGAGCTTGCATGCCGTCGTCAGTGCTGCGTTGAGCGGGTGGTCTGTGCACGCGCACGGAATGAGAGCATGAGAGAATATCGCAATTGAGAGGACGTTGACAACACGTCCCCATGTCACTGCACCGCCACACGTGCGACAAGCGCCATCTCTCGCTCTCCACATTTTTAATCTTCCAGACGATGTTCACCTTCTCTCTCCACCTAATCCACGCCGTCATCAACCACCAACTTTTCGCTTCTTGTTCAGACACAGTTGACTTGTTCGACTTATAGCATTTCCCCCGCTTGGTGCGCCACATTATCAACCGAAGCAGCTCAAAGTCACTACCAGCATCCGCACTCACTTCGAACATGTCTGCTCAGTGGGAAGTCCGCTTCAGTAACACGCGCAAGCTCCCATACTTTTATGACTCGGCATCAGGTACTTCCACATGGGAAGCACCGTCAGGCCTCTCGCCAGAGCAGATTAGTGCGCTCCCCGGTGCGGCGCAGTACCTAGGACGCGATGGGGCCAGCAGCAACTCTGCAGCCGCAGGGAGGGATTCTGCGACCAAAGTCAGGGCGTCGCATCTGCTTATTAAGCACGCCAAGAGTCGGAGACCTAGCAGTCACAGACAGGTGCGCACGCACAGAGTACTGCTTCTGGATGCATATGCTTCTCGCTCATCACTCACACTTTTTATGCACAGGCAAATATCACACGCTCGCCGGAAGAAGCCGAACAAATCATCCGGGATCACTTAAAGACGCTTGGCCCAAATCCCTCCGCAGAAGCATTTGCCAAACTTGCTGCAGACCACAGGTGTGTACTTATTCCCGGCTCTGCACCTCAGGCCCCGGGTTCGAGGCAGAGCTGTATGAAAGGAGCGATCGTATGGAATACGAGCGAACTGGCGGTATCCGCGTTCCACTGGTACCGTAGTCGTATTGTGCAAAGCCCCTTTGAGGATCGACGTTCAAGATTTTAGCACGAGATGCAGAGCATAAAGCGCAGTATCTCTGAGGATGTACAGGCGCGTATCGCGCGTTTGAGCGAGTGGCGATATGAATCCCTTCCTTTCGGATGCCATTCATCTGACGCACTGCATTCCTTTCTCCTCTTGCTCGCCATTTGCCCACCGCAACCTCATTTAGCGACTGCTCTTCGGCGCGATCGGGCGGGGACCTGGGTTTCTTCTCGCGTGGGCAGATGCAGAAGCCGTTCGAGGATGCAGCGTTCTCGCTGCCCGTCGGTGCGCTCAGCGACATTGTTCAGACAGAGAGTGGGACGCACGTCATCCTCAGGACGGCATGAGTGTTCGCAAGTCCAGGAAGCCGTGCATAATGTATGGCGCCTTTTGAAGACGAAAGAAAAAAACCAAGACGATCACGCGAACATGAGGAGTCAGACACTCGATGACACCCGACGGGCTTGATGCCTGGGGCGACCAAGAGCCACGTGCACATGTCATGATGCCTGATAGCAAGGCTTTCCTCTTTCCTCGCGGCGATTACCGGCAACCGACCATCGATCAATTTCGACAGAACGACGTCACCGCAGCGTGTGAACTGTGAAATACGAGATGTGAAGATACATGAGGCGGTGAGGGGGCGGGGCGGGGGAGTGTGAGGTGGGGGAGGCCTGCAAGAGTAATTGAGTGCTGATTGTTGAGAATTTAGTACTCAATACAATTGAATACCGGTTATGACGAAGTACTGAGTCACCATGTACTGTTAAGTGTGGAGAGCCAGTGCCATGTGATGAACCCCCTGCTACCCCCTACCTGGACAATGTGCAAAGCTCTGGACGCGGGCAACCTGGCGTCAGACCAATAGTAGACTACCGTGCGGGGTCAGGGCCTCGCGACATGAAGCTCCTGCTCCGACGGCAACATGCAGAGACGCCTTGGGAGGTTTAGCGCCGGCTTCGTGGAGAATTGCAGACTACAGCAGTATGTTTGTTGCCATCATTATCACCGACCACTAACTCCTACTGAGCAATGTGGAGTATGTATGTATATACCTCATACGAGAGCTGAGAAAGTGAGAGCAACTACCAAGAACCGAAGTGATTCAGCGTGCGTTGAGTGACTACCTACACATGTAGCGATAGTGACTAGCGAAACCTAAAATATGGACAAAAGAAGAGATCATGATAAGAAGAAGCTCTCGCCTGCTCGCAGATTTCAGTGTGATAGATGCGGCAAACTCTGGCTTCTGCATGTGTACGAGTGCATACATAGCCTCAAAGGACTGCCGTCTGCACTGCATATGTTAGAAATCGTCGTCATGGAGTGACGCCTAGCGCCGGATAAATGGGAGAATTGCAGACTACAGCAGTATGTTACCATCAAGCATCACTGTCACCAGCCACGAACTACTGCGGCGCAATGTGGAAGTATATATGTGTAAGTACCTCCTCGTACGAGAACTGAGAATGTGAGAGCACTACCAAGAATCGAGGTGCTAAAAAGGACACTATCTATTCAATGTTGACAAATTGCTATTAGGCCCTCACCGTGCAATTCCTTACTCCTTCCACACCATGTACCATGCGTGTTTCCAATTTCCTTGGAAGCATTATACATATAGCACGGGATATAGTTTATGGTGCAGGTACTATGCAGACTGCAACGTGGTATAACGGTGCAACGGTTCAGCGATCGTGCACTGGCATGATGGTGCGCTGGAAACTGGACTTTCTTTGCTTCTCCATGTTTTTCGCTGTGCGGTTACACTAGTCATGGACATACCCATTTTTGGCAGTAATCAGTTGACGAAGACGGGCGGGCGACCCCATCTGTCCAACTGCGCCTTGACCAGGGCTCTTGTGTCTGGTTGGATTCGAGATGTCGTTAGAAGCTATAGATATCTGTGGACTTGGACCTATATGGCGTATGTAAATGAGAGATCTCTACCGTCAATTCGCCATCGCGTCCTCCCGTTTATTTAGACTTGGTTGGCTGAACTCTCAAGTGATCATGCGTTCATCGTTGGCCGTTTATCATCCCACCAGTGCCCCGTTGCCTGCCTTTGCAGACCTTTATCAGCAGCCAGTCCATAGCAGCCAGCTCATCCGGCATCTGTGCGGGGAAATCACAAAGGCTAAATCTTCGATGAGAATTTGAAAAATCACTTCGGGTTACCCTTTGCCGGTCACCGGAGCCACTCTATGTATATTTGTATATAAACGCTATTTTAATGGACAGCCGTTGCACTGTCACCGTCTTCAAAGGCCCGAGTGCCAGGCGCCCAGGCCTAGGTATGCCCTGCCACTCTGCCAGCCTGCCACTTCTGATACTTGTGATCTTGAATCTTGTCGTCTTGCCGCATGTCAGCCCAAGTGCCTGGCTGCCTGCGTGTATTCGCCCTTCCAGTCAGCCTGAGCAGATCAGGGCCGGCCTGAGCGCCTGAGCCCTGTCTCAGACGGTCGCATTTGCACAGGCAGCCTATCGACAGGTGTCCAAATCCAGAGTCCCACGGAGTCCAGCAGAAATTGCATCGTTCATCTTTCTTCATTCAAATTCATACTTCAAATGCGATAGGCTCCGGTTGCCCGCCATTTATCAGTGTAGTGAGTAGTTAGTGATTGACTAACGTCGTGAGGCGTGATGCAAGTGAACGCCCTGTGATGGCCGTCGCCCTGCACCGCCACTTTGACGCCGAAGGCCAACAAAATGACGCGCAACATTGAACACTTCTGTTGAAAACGAGTGAACAGCGCTCACTCATCCCTCCCCCGGCCAATATGTACTCTAGCCTGCCCTACCCTGCCTTATGTATCCTGTCTGGCGGCCTGCCGCGGATGCACCTCTGTACCTGGCCCAGCGCCGGCCCACGCTGATTGCGCCGGGTAAACCCTGAAACACTTCAATAATAGTAAAACATGACACGATTCCCTTCAACGACTGACAGGCTATCTTCACAGCGTACGAGACCTATGACAAGACTTTTGTTTTCCCGCGGAGTTATCAACGACGCGTCCAAGCGCAGACCTTTTTCGGAGTCCGGTCACGGTGGACCTGCTTAGCTTGAGGAGCTCCAAGCAAAACTTAAAATAGTGTGCGATTCAAAAATCAAGGTCTTTGGCTTCAAGGGGGTTTCGATTCTTAAGAACCCCAGCTCCTCTCCGCATGTTCTTCAATACATACAGCCTTGGTCATCAACACTGTTTCATTAGTTATCAACATGGATCGAATAGCAGAGATATTGCAGTTATGGGATGTGCTTGAAGCAGCGATCAGGCTCGCAACGCCCTTCAGCACAGACGTACGAAGCGAAGTTCAGATGTGGAATACCCTTCTTGTGCGCAGGAGAAATTGTACAGCTTTGCGGGAACTCACGGAAATTTGGTTTTCCGGGACCTGGCATATTTCCGGTTTCTGGGTCGACATTAGATCATTCATTTGTGCAGCGAATACGTACACACAGATGTATTTTACAATTTACATTTACACAGCAGCAGATCACTCAAAGCCGCAGACGTTTTGCGATCCTGGTTTCCTTTAGCTCGCCTCATGCACCACATCACCTGATGACCTCGACGTCACTCTGGGCACTGGTGTTATCAGTCATCACGAGTGCGTCGTCCATATTGTGTGCGTGGTTGTGCGTGCATAGGGTGAACTCTGCAAGCGCAACAAAGGCTACCCACATTCGGATTCTGAAAGCTTTTGAAGCTTATTGAGTGTCATGATTCTGTATAGGGCTTGGCTGGCTTTGGAGCACACTGCACTACTGCACTATGCAGATTGGAATGTGGAACGTTAATGAAGCTATGAACTTAGAGCCTGGACACTGGACAGACCTAGACTGTGATACATGTGTGGATGGTGATAGGCGTCTCTTGGCGCTTGACTTCGACGAGGAGCTCTGATATGACGAGATGAGGTGTGAAATACGTAGATGAAACGTTAAATGAAGCTCAAGTGTGACCGCATGAAGCGTGAAGACCTTTCCAATCAGCGAAACCCTGTACCATGCGGCTCAAGACTCCTGTGAAACAGCTCTTGAAGAAGGGCTCTTGGAGTACTTGAGCTTGAAAAAGCTTGTCACTTGAAGCTTTGGCCCGACTCTCGAAACGGCAGAACAAGACAAGATGAGTGTGCGCCTGTGTGCGCACTTCTTGTTCCTCCTACCTTACAGTGCATTGCCCTGGGTGCTTGCTGCTTTCCTGTATTGGACATCCCTATGAACCGACAGCTTTTGTTTCTACATATACGTTCTACACAAATCCATCAGTGTAAAATGTCTTGTGAATGGATCTGCTCGTGAAGATTTGGAGATTTCTGGAAGGATTGAGGGATCTCCCCGCCTTGGTTGGGTTGTCGGCCTCTGTTCCGGCGCGGGACCGATTTCCATTTCAAAGACGCGGGACGCCGACGCGGCCGCGCTTTCGTCCGCGGTGCGGGTATTTCGCAGATAGTCACGGAGGAGATACATTAAAGCGATCAACTGATGAGACACCGGTCGAGGGAGACTGGAGAGGGGAGAGTGTATGATGTACTTCATACCCACATTCATCTCAGCAAGCCACGACTTTGATACGACCTGTTTCATCCAGGATTCGCCCCGACTTTGAGAGACGCTGCACTCTCATCGACAAGCCCACGAAGCATCGTCACGATCGCAATTCGCAAGCGCTACATCGCATCGCTGTGCATTACACCACACGCATCAAGGCGAGGCGTCGTTTCCGTCTGCAGTGCATACGGCCCTCCATTTTATGCCTAGCGGAGACGCCGACAACGCGCCCCGCTTGCCGTCGTTCGCCGCACACTCAGTTAACAGCAAGGCAGCCATGCAATCACTCTGACACCTCAGCACACAAGCAGCACGCTTCCCTTACCATCTTCATGCAGATCACCAGTGCTGCAGATGCGTGCACCCTCATCTTTTCAGCTTGAAGGTTTCATATTCTGTTGCCGGTAGGTGACGGCGCTCCGCGCAGACGACCCAGCTGTCTCACGCGTAGCTCCCCTTTCCAACACAAGACGTATGCGCTGGGGCACCATCAAAGATGCTCCCCTCACCTTGGGAGAAATCGTTAGGCTGGGTGAGCGGCGATAAACCTCAGGCGGGAACGGACCCAAGCTATCTTCATAGGCTTGGTGATTGTCCATTCCCAGGCGACGCAGAGGTCGGTAATGACAATGGCTCTGCAGCGGCGCTGTTCGCTTCAGCACCATTCCACTCGAATCCTGGGCCCAACTTCTCCTCGATGGGCATGTTAGGGACCCGCAGCATGAGTGACATGTCAGTGAACAACTCCGCAAGTCAGAACTATGCTAAGCAGCACTATGGCAACCACGACGACATGATTGCCACCCCTACCCTCAACCAACACCGCTTTGATGATTCTCGGTTGCAAGTTGTTGACCCTTTCTCTGAGCCCATGGCAAATCGGCAGCATTTGGATCCGCAAGCGGCGCTCAGACAATCAGATCTCTCGCATTTGCATCAGTCACAACTTGCTTCGAATTCTCTGAAGCATGCCCAGTCTCCCGCACATTTGTCGCATCCCAACCCTCTTCCGCACCACGACGTGGACTCTGACCACCAACACCAGGAGAAGCTGCAGCAGCAGCAACGACGACAGCCACCCCCGCAGGACTCGTATGCGCATCCACAAGCAACTTCGCAATCCCCATTACTCTCGCTGTCTCAAGAACCTACCGATCCGATTCAGACACAGTCTCTCTTTCAGTATGGCAGCAGCATGTCATCGCCACCCTCCAGTCAAGGTACTCACGAGCTCGAGTCGTTTGGGCAGCTGGCGCGTCATGGTTCGATCCAGTCTACGAGTACAGCCCGCTTTGATGCCCAAGACAAGGACAGCTCGATGGAGCGTCCTGTCGAGGGTTCCCTGGTAGATGGGGCTAACCTGCATCACGCAAATGCGGAGGAATTCTCGTCGCAGATGCAACAGGACGAGTGGCTGCAACGGCAGGAAGTGTCGCCTTTGCAGGACTTCCAGCGCATTTCGAGCTCGTATTCTCGCAGGTTCGAGCTTCAAGGCAGGACTTCAGGAGATCATTACCTCTTGCCTGGTCTAACAGAGCAAGAAGGGCAAGTGCCTCAGCAAGAGCACGCGCCGACCGTAGCTGCCATCTCTGACGTGGGTCTGGAGAATACCACACCGCAGGCGCCATCGCGCAATATGCCTGCTCCACTGCAGATGGCACCTCCTTCTCCCTCCCTCAGGCTCTTGTACGATCCATCGCGGTCCCTTACAGATCTTCGGATCACGTGCGGACTCTCTACCGATGCTACCATGGTCAGCGAGGATCCTATGAGCCCTCAGCCGCTGCAAATCTCCATGCCAATGTTACATTTGCATGGCCTGGGCTCGCGAGAATTTGCCAGTCCAGATTCTGGCACATCATCTGCCCTCAGCAGCGCGCTTGACTTCTCGGACCAAGAGCATTTCCCGATGAGCGCAAGTTACCGCACGGGTGTTCCAAATGGGCACGTATCGGCCAGCACTGCTTCGCGGCCAATGTCGCGAACCGGCAGCGCTGGTGTCATGTCAAGCATAAGTTACGCGTCGTCAGGCTCTTCCGCCTCGGATGGGCCACAGATGCAGCGCACGCGACCGCGGTCCCACACCACGATTGCTGGGCCGATAGCAACTTCGCGACATCCCCCGCTGTTGAGAGCGCTTGCTCGGTCTTCCAGCTCATTAAACCTGAGCAGCGATGCACAGCGCGCACCGATCTTGGAAGTACCAGCACCTGTGTTGAGACTTCACCAATCCCCGCGCCATTCAGGGATTCCAAAGTCGTGTTTTGTTACACCGGGTGCACCCGCAGAAGACAGCCCGGGAGACCTCCGCATAGAGCTACCGCCTGCGCAGCCTGCGGTCACCAACCATGATACTTGGTGCATGTCACAAAATTGGGCAGCACCGAGCCGGACATGGCCAGCGACACCCTCGCTGACGGATTCTCAAGCATCCATTCTCAGTGCGGCTTCTAATAGAAACAATGATATGTATGACTCGCGGCTCACTGACGCCAAGCTCTCTGCAGCACTGCAAGCGGGTGCCACTCTGCAAGCACACGCCTCCCCAAGAGGGAGTGACCGGTCGACAACGACGCCTACCATACCCGAAGAGCACAATCGCTCCCACCCACGACCTGCTGTCCAGGCGCCGGCTATGCGCCGGGCGATATCGTCCTCGAGCGCAAGCAAGAGTGTCGCTCGGAGGACGTCATCCGACAAGGACGGCTCAAGCATCGTACCGCCTCATTTGAGTCTAGCCATGAGCCCGGAGCTCGAAAGGCGTTCGTCAGAACCGCAGATGGGTGAGAAGCCTCTCAACGCACGCACAACAAAGCCTTCGTCACACATCAAGCTGTTGCCCAGCGAACAAGCTGCGGAGGTACCCTCCCAGCATTTCTCCACGCTAAGAGACAACGTCTTATCGTATTTGACCAGTCACAGCCGGATGGCTCTTGGTGAACGCACGGTCTGTATCATGACGCCACGTGTTGCTCAAAAGAGCTATGGCACAGAGAAACGTTTTATGTGTCCGCCGCCCATGGTGCTCTTGGTCGGAAGTAGCTGGTGGAACGCAAGCATTTCCTGCGACGGGCAGGATGAAGAACAAGATAAGCGCACCATTTTAATCCCGCCGCGCGTGAGCACCAAGATCTTGGGCGAAGCTGCAGCATTCGAGACGCAGCTGGACTGGACGAGTAGAGATGGGCAGAACATCAGCATTGGCTCTTCCTACAACGACATGACCGTCCTCGGGCAGGCAGCGTACAGACAGATGGCTATCAGCGAAGCTGATGACAAGCTGACGCGCCGCGACGTGACCGCGGAAGTTGCTATCACCGTACCTGCCGTGTCGGCGCAGCAGCATAAGCTTCTCGGGCGCTTCAAGAGTCGGCCGATCCGCGTGATCAGCAAGCCCAGCAAAAAGCGGCAAAGTGCCCGCGGCACCGAAAGTGAGTGGCTCAGGTGTATATCCGTATGGAGATGGGAATGTGCTGATGGCGAGCTTGGCTCTCTTGTCCATGCAAAGTGCACATCACGCATGGCTCCATCGTCTCCCTCTTCCACCGGCAAAAGGCGCAAGCTACCTCGACCAAGCATCTTTGTGTTTCTGGTCCGGCAACATGGCTCAAAGGCTCGGATGGTCAATCGATCATGACTGCGGCTGATGGTCCTCAGCCCTCCGGGGCATGCTTCGTGGCGAAAACTTCGCGTTGGGACGCATTCATCATCTACCTAATCGATCCTCTTCGAGACCCGCATGGTGACTCTAATGCGCCCCGACAACCAGGCTATCCTTCAACTCCTTCAAATGCGCTTCCAGCTTCGACATCACCCATTTTTTACAACCAGCCCATTGTGCTTCAGTGCTTAAACACGGCTGTCGTGAGTCCAGTGATGATCATCAGAAGGGTCGACAAAGGCAACACGATCTTCGGAGGAAAGATGGTGCGCGGACCTGACTGGAAACTTGCAAAAGAGGCGGTCGGTGACCCGGTGTCTCAGCTTCACAAGATCGCTTTGGAAATTTGGGAGCCCCCTTCGAACGAGGGCACCACTTCTACGACCTCCTCATTCTTGGCGTGTTCAGACGAGACGGTAGGAATGCACAAGCTTGAGGTGGGCAAAGTATGGTTGAATCGCAGTCCCAGCACGGCATCGAGCAACGCGACGGACGGTGCACCAGCGACTCCTCCAACTACATCCGCTGCAACAGATGTTGATTTCGAAAAAGCATCGTCCTCACTGGCAATGATCTATCCTCCGGCCTCCGCCTCCAAAGCGCCCATGGTGTCTCCCACGCTTTCTGGTGGCGGCTCGAGCAGAATGGAGAAATCAGAGTCATCGGATGGCGGGAAGGTGCGGCGGCCACGGCGTGTGTCCTCTTCACTGTCTCTACAAGCGCAAAAGGACCGTGCTCTACATGCGGCCAAGGGCCGCAAGCGAGGACAATCTATGTCCGGTGCGGCCGAGGGCCTAAGCTCGATGCTCGCAGATGCCGGCCCTGCCTCTGCGCCTTATCCTACATTCGACAGCGGACGAGATGCAGAAGCATGGACACTGGACGTGGCTGACTCAGACATCTGGTGCATTGTCGGTGCAGGTAAGTTAGGATCGGCTTTCACATCCGAAAGAGGCATGCTGACGCCTCATACCCTTCTGCAGAGATTGTCAAATACACCTTCTACCTGCCGTCTGAATTGGCTGGAGGGGTACGGCCACCGACCGGACCCCTGGATGCACAAATCTCGCGTCTTTTGACCACTCCTGCGCCTGCTTCACCGGTGACCGCATTCCCTAAGCTCCACAAGATTAGCCTCGCCAGAGATCAGGAGAAAGGTGATTTCCTCGTTCTTGAAGGCGAGAAACTCAACTCCAACTTGCATATTTTCTTTGGAGATTGGCAAAGCCCTGCTGTACAGTGCCTCAGCTCGAGCAAAATGTACTGCCTGCCACCGCCGTCGGAACTCAATGGGGCCCATCGAGCCCCGTTACCCGTTCTTCTCGTTCGACAAGATGGCATCATATACCCTACACCGCACATCATCTAGTGGCGCAACCTCTAACTTCATTCCGTCACTTCTTCAGCCTCGATCCCATGCACAGCAAAAGACCGCATATTCAAGTTGGAAGGACTCGTGTCGTCCTGGAAACGTTTCGGCCGGAAAGTGAGCCTCCTGTTTCCCGAACCCATACCAACCCAATTTCAAGAGATTCGAGCTTCAATCATGATTGCATGTATATTAGTGGCGTGGCAACGCGGATACATGCCCCAAAGGATCAAGTAAGGTTGCGTACGGCGTTGATCTCGGCTGCGCTGAGATTAGATTGAACCTCGGCTTTGCCCAGCTCAGATATGTTCCCGCTGGATCCCGATCGATTGAAATTTGTTGAGCCCAAAGGCCCTGAGCTTGGGCTCATGTGCGCGAGATGCGGGCTCCAGGTGCCACTGACGGAGCTCTGAGATGGCGCACGGTTGCGAGGGTGGACAAAACTGCTCCCGCTGGAGACGCTTGAGCTTGGTAACCTCGTCGTGCGAGACCCAGCCGATGGCGGTTGTGCTTCTCCAGGTCGGCGCTTCATCTCCTTTTCGACAAGTCGCCTCGCTTCTCGTTCCTCCTTCTGGATTCTCTGCTGATCACGTACCGATAAGGCCGGGGGTGGTAGAGAATTGTTGGCCAAGCCCAAGGTTGTGCTTGCCGTCTCTGACGATGGCGACGGATGTGCTGGCCCGTAATCGACGACGGATCGGCCGCGCATCATGCCTGGACTCCCGCTCTCTCCAGCATTGACTCTGGTCAGCTCACTAGATATGCCCGAAATGGTGCTCTTGTTGTCGCTGTCTTCATAGGGAAGTGAAAGAGCGGCCAGCCCATCGTCTTTACTGTTTGTGTTCGAGCTGCGACCGAATATGCTGAAGCGCTTTTTTGCTGCTGCACCTTGGCGAGCCACCAGCGCAGCAGCTGCCTTGTCTTGAGGCAAGCTAGGCCGACGCTGGGCAATGATGGTGGATGAAGAGCTCGAGGACGTCCGATCGCCACTTGCAAGCCCAAGGAGCCGCTCTGCCTTGCTGAGAGGCTCAGGGTTGATACCCAGCAGCCTCTCTGCCTTGTTCGGCCCCTTGGCTTGACGCGGTTTCATGCTTTGATCATCTGAACCGTCACTGTCAACCATGTGGTCTATGCGCGCGGAGCTGGTGACTAACTCTTGCGTCACTTGAGTGCCGGCGATAGGCGATTGAGGAGGAGCGGAAGCACCGGTCTGCTGCCCCCATGTAGCTAAAGTAACTGGCGTACGCTTGTTCGCCTGTGACTTGTTGACATCGACGGAGCTCGTGATTGTGGGCTTGACTGCAATCTGGCCGCTCTTGCACGCCATCCACTTTGAGAGCGACATGACGACGCGCAAAGCCCTGACTTGCAAGGAAGCGCGCCCACACAGCGAGGCGGCTTCGTACAAAAGGATTGCCAAGCGATGCCGCTCCTCCGCAGGGAGCACCGTCGGCTCGACTTGCGTGAGAGTCTTAGTAGAAGGACTGAGCTCACGCGTGAGGCACTGGTGAATCGCATGGTTGGTCCATAGGGTAAGGCCCGGAATTTCGTACATCGCCGCGATGATCAGCAGCGTGGCAAGCATGGATGGGTGGCGCTGCAAGCTGGTGCAGATCGTTTGCGTGTGGAAAAACTCGAGCAGGGCGACAACGACTGGGCTTGGTTCAGGCAAGAACAGCTGACGTGGTGTGATGCGTATGTCGGCTTTGATCTTTCCCCCATCATCACCGATGATATAAGTGGGTACTGACACGCCGTCCTTGGTCGCTTGTGATTGAGCGGCATCACTCGCACGCTTTCGGTAGTCCTGCAACGCCCGTTTGAACCAGGCCCAACGCCGCTCAAGCACAGCTCGATTGACACCTAGCTTGGTTCCATCGGAGCAAACAATCTCAAAGTCTCCCTGGCCGCCTGTGGCCATTGGCGTCAAAGGAAGACCCGTCTGCTGCCCAGCGCGTCGATCGCTACCGCTCCTTAAGCCGATTGCCTCGTCCTGCAGCATCTCGGCCGCATTGTCCTCCTCTGTCGCCCAAGGATCGGTCGATACTCCGCTAACGCTGCTGCTCGAGCTGATGCTGCCTTGCCTGTGTAGGTTGTTGTGATTGTTGTGTCCTGCACCGCCGACGCCGCTAGGATCACTGCTACTCCCGCCTGTGCTGACCGTCATGCCCATTAAGCCGCCTTTGAGGCTGGCGACGAGCTTCTCGAGGCCTAGAGTGGCAGCCCGCCAGTGGAAGTTGAAGGGTGGCGGCTGGTAGATGCCCCAGGGCTCAAGCTCGAGCAGAGCGATGTGATCCCAATTTGTCTGGCGATGGTTATAGTCGGCCACAAGGTCACGCTCGCGATTACCAAGCACGAGAAGCCGGTTCTCTTTTGGCCACAGGATCGCGCGGTTCCACGAGCCGTGTGCAAGGACGCTGCCGCCGTCCATGCGCGACCAAGTGAGCGTGGGCAGGTGCAGAGCCCAGATGGAGAATGTCTGCGATGTATTGGCCAGGTATGTCCCGCTGATGATCAGGTGGCTGCCGAGGACAAAGCCGTTGGGGAATCGCAGACCGGGAGGTAAGGATACACCGACCATCTGCGGGGAAAGGTCCTCCGTCGCGAGCGACAGCGCTTCGTCTGATGCAGATCGACTGTACTGAATTCGCTCCAGCTCGCGCTTGACATCTGCAAAGTTGTAGTTCGAGTAGACGTAGATCGGCATCAATTCTGCCTCTGTCGCCCTCGCCTGTGCCTTTGCTGCACTCTCGCCATCGGCGGCATCATCCTTATCATCGCCGCGGCGCTCTACGTCGCTTTGACGAGCACATGAGACCTGGCCACACATGGCCTTCTTTTTGACACTCATCGGAAGCGGATGCAGTTTGAAGCGATGCATGGAAGCTGCAAAAGCTGGCGACTGCGCCGTCGTGGGGGTGGTGCAGAGGCTCGCAGCTTCACTGACGCTCTTCATTGTCGAAGAGGCTACAGATTGGGCTGTGAAGCCAGTTGACCCTCCGGGAGAGCTGCTGTTCGCGATAGATGCGCTCCGGAAACGCGACTCAAAGCTGCCGGTGGCCTCTTCGGAAGGGGGCGCCTGGCTACCGGTTCTGCTATTGCCTTCTGAGGTCGCCAAGCTTCCACTCCTGCTCCTATCGTCGGAAAATGCGGCCGCTTCGTCCGCCAACGCTGTTGCCTCTGCGGCTGCTGGCGACGGCATCCAGCAAGGGCGTGTGATCGGTGTGAGTCCCTCGCCCGCGCGCTGCTCCCGGCCGCTTTCGTCTTGTATGCACCAGGCGCCGCTGACGGCCAAGCTCCTGTACGACCCGCACTGGCTGTTGAGGCGATCGCAGCGCACCCAGCAGCGCTGGCGCAGGGAAAAGACGGCGATCTGCTCGACGTACTTGTTGTCGATGTCCTGCCCGCCGAGGATGACAAGGTGGTCGGAAGTGGTGGAGGAGAGATGGGCGTAGCGTGGCAGAGGACGCATGTCCGCCGCCGACGAGGATGCTGTTACGGCCGCGGTGGATGTCGACGGAGCGGCGGCAAAGTCGAGGTCCCAAGTGAGCGTGGCGAGATCGAGGGCGATCACTTCGTCCAGCACCGAGAGGCCATCGCTCTTGCTCGAAGCAGTGGCTCCTCTACCGGTGGGAACACCAGCCGCGCCGGACACAGACGACGAGCTATCACTCCGTCGTGGGTAGCCCATGCCGCTGCAGATGATCAGCTTCCCATCCCAGAGATCAGCCGAGTGGAAGTAGCGAGCCTTGGGCGGTGTGAGGCCAGTGCTGGGTGGCGTCGATTCAGCGGCATCATCGTTGCCGCTGCGCTCGGCAACGTCGTCCGGGTTCAGCTGGCCTGGCTTGACCTTGCGCCAGGTGACGGTGTCGATGTCAAGCTCGTACAGGTCGTTCGTCATGCATCGCGTCGTAACGAGGCGGCCGCCGAAGAGGTAGATGCGCGGTCCGCCTGACGCGGACGTCCCTGGGCCCGAATCGACGAGCGTCACGGACGCGCCCTGTGCACAAACAAACGAACGGGAGGAGACAAAACGTGTTAGCCACGGCCGCTTGAAACCCATTTCCGTTTCTCGATTCCCCCTTGCTTGCCCGCAATATGATCGGAAGGCTGCATCACCCTGCATACAGCCAGCTTTCTGATCGGAGATCGCAAGCAAACGAGCCGGAGAGGGACATTCCCCTTGATCCTGGTTTTCCTTTTCGAATCCCCTTCGACCAACTGGGACGACATTGGAAGCGATTGCAGACTGCAGCGACAGCAAAAAGCAACTCACCACGAGCGGAGGAGGAACATCGCCTTTACACGCCTTAAAGCTCGTCGCGACGTCGGCAAGCGGTGGAGCGGAAGAAGACAGCGAGATGGCGTCCTTGTCTTTGTCTTTGTCTTTGTCTTTGTCCTTTTCCTTGCCATCTTTTTCCTTTTGATTCGTAGGGGCATGTGTAGGATGTATGCTCGACGTGCTAACACCTTGTGCCGCGTTGCTGGAGCCGGTGCTGCTGCTGGTAACGCCGACATTTGGCACGACGCCAGAGGAAGACGACATCTTGTTACTGGAAGATGAAATAGTACCTTGCGCGACAGCGGGCGAAGAGGTGCCCTTGGAAGGAGGCAAAACGATACCTAACCCAGTTGCAGCAGCATTGTCCATTCGGCTTCCCTCCGACGTGCCTCTCTTTTCTTGTTGCTCCTGCTGGGACAAGGCTTTGGAGGCCGGAGGCGAGATGGGTGTCCTGGGTGTGTTCAGCGTCGGACTTAGCGGCGAGCGAGGTGGCTGCTGGTCCCGATCAGCTGCAACGGCAGCTGATGATACTGACAGCATGTGCTGGGTATAGACATGGGCAGACAACATTCTATGTATCGAGTCCAGGGCGAAGAGATTTGTGGGAACTGATTGGCTTGGCAATGTTCGGCGGATGGTGGCCAGGGCCGGCAGGCGGCGACACGGGCCCGAGTGAGGCCCGAGCACTGACTGTGAGAGCAGAGCCGGGAGCCCGCAAGCTGGACAAGAGGCTGGACGGATGGCCAGATGATTTGGAAAGGCACATCAGCTTGAAATGATGAGATGAGAGCTCGGGCGCTAAAACGAGGAGGGCTGCATACGCCACAACGCTTCGCCGTCTCCAGTCACTCGAGCGATTGGCAAAGGCGGTGTGCAGGGGGTTGCACCGCACCGCTACCCTTCCACCAGCCAGTATCAGGGTCATCGGAATAATGCTAAATGCAGGAATGGCATACTCGCAGCAGCAATAAGCCCCGGTTCTTCATCCCAATCGAACCACAAAGTACAGCAAAGTTAATCAATCGCAGTCAAACAGTGTGCGAAGATGACAGTTGCTCAGTTGCAACCGTCGACGTTTACGGTAGACCAATTCCAGAGGTCCAGAGGAACTCTACGAAGGCAGGGATAATGGCTAGATTCTTACAATTGGGACCCGCCGTGAGCCTGCTGGACGCCCGTGGTGCCACCTCTTTGGACCCATAAATTATCTCATTGGAACTTCACGTCGGTCCCAACGAGACCTGCGTGATGGGTGAATGAGCTACAGCGCTCAAGCAGGTGTAATAGGCCAAGGCAGCAATGGGCGCCCGGGAAGAGATCGCGTTGCCCTGGCTCGACCCTTCCCAAGGAGCGCTGCCGTGCGAGATGTCCACCTTCAGGCCACTCGAGTTCAGCTTGCTGCGGCACTGTCTGTGCCTCTCGCATCCTCTCTATCGGATGTGCTGTTGCCCCTGCCTGTGTGACGCGGCGTTCGAACTTGGCCGCTAAACTCATTTCGTCCGGTCTTCCTTGCTTACCTTTTAACTACAGGTCGAGCTCACCAATGCCGCAGCAGATATCCGTTAGGGTCACGGGCTGGTGTTCCTTACCACCGGCTCAGCTGCTCTGTCGATCTGCGACAATTACAAGCGCTCTCCGGTCCACATGCCTGTGCTCTCGCCCATCGCAGCTCGGAGATCAGTCAAGTAGCGGCGGAATGCGCTGCAGCGCAGAAACCGGCGCAGTAGGAACTGATGAGTGGCTTGATCGCCTTCCTGCTGGTGCTCAGCACTCAGCTCCCAGTGAAAGATACGATCGCAAGATGCTGGCTGCGCCTGGCCCCATCTGCATAGAGGTCGTACCGTATCAACACGTGGAGCTGTTGCACGAGTTTGCCGGTTGCCCCAATGCTGACCGCCCGGCTTTTGCAGCGGACACAACAACGCCCGCAGCCATGATGGCAGCCCACAGTCTTGGGATCAACCCAAAGGACAAGGCGCCTCTTCAATTCAACCGTGCGCTCTTGCCCTACAGCTCGTGCATCGGCATGACTGGCACGGGTGCAGACAAGGCACCACCATAGGTGAACAAAGTACGCCTACCACAGTATATGAACCATCAGTTCAATATCTCGATTACCTTCGTGACGCCCTACTTTTCATCATGCGAGACCTCGGACTTATGGAGCCCAAGGTACCACTTTGGACCTCGGTCACATCAGTAACTTCTTTCAGAGGGCGCCATTCCGCCACGCAATTTGCAAAGGCATCGATACACGAGCTAATTACTTTGGCGCCCACAATTCCTTCCATCCAGGCTGTAATGTAACACTAATCGACACTTCTTCTTAGTAACTTCCCTGAGGCATCCAAGGATTGGCGTAGCGAGCGTATTTCAGAGTCCGTGCTCTGTCCAGCGAGAGTCCTCAGTCAACGGGGCGTCGGGGACAAAAGAGGAAGCGGAGGTGACGATGAATGGCGATACGCTTCAATGTTTTCTGTGGAGTTACTATGTTATGGATATGCGATGGGGTTTTTTTGGCACACATACATTTTTTTCTTTCTTTTTGGCTTTGCGACACAAAACGTTACAGTCGCACATTCACAGGTTGTTCATTCAGAAGAGCTCGCACAAAGCAGCCTCACACTTCCTTCTCCATGCATAACCAGATGCTTTGTGATGCAACTTAAGCGTGCAACCAAAACGTGGGAGGTTTGAAAAAGAGCAGGGCCTTCCGTCTTCAGCAGCTTACCGAAACAACAAAAGTGCGTGTCGAATTACAAAAAGTTTCGCAGGAAGAACGACAAACATGGATAGCAATTCCCTCCTGCAGCTGCTGCAAAGCGCTGGCACTCCGTCTCCATCGCGCTCGCTTCCTGGGTCAACATCGCCCAATACTCCTAGTGCACAACCGACGCTGGTGGATCCAAGTGGTAACATCAAGGCCGCCAGCTCTTCTGCGTCCAACTCGCTACTGTCCTTGTTAACAAATCCACCGGGCCCAGCAGTGCAAGAGACGCAGCATGCCGAGGCAATGCAAAAGCCTCTGGCTTTCTCTCTTGCTCCATCAATGCCTTCCGTTCCATCTGGAACGAGCTTTTTGGACACTTTGACTGCTGCTCGGCCAGTGTTGGCTTCAGAAGATGGACAGTCCGCGTCTCCCAACGCTCTGATCCGCCCACGGTCCGCTGCGCAGTCCGCTGGAGAGCAAGCTGCTGAGCATTTTCCTGTACCCTCTACGGCTCGATCTGCCTCATCCGATCTACTCACCTTGCTGAGTAATGGATTGCAAAGATCAAGGCCTTCGAAGCCGCCAGCCTCGATGTCAAGCGTGTCAGCAGTCAATGAGGCATCCCAAGGTTCGTTGTGCCAAGTGCCGCTTCCTCTCAATACTTATGCTAAGAGTGTCTCCTCCAGCCCCACCAGGATTGAATAGTGCTGCAAGTCTTGCAAAAAATGAAGGACAAGTTGAACGGCGACCTTCTCAGCCTACCATGTTCGACACGTTCAGTCCTTTCGATCTTCTCACTCGTCCCGCCCCCCCCACGGGCATTTTGACGTCGCAGGGGGAAAGTCAAACCTCATTCGCAGAAGCGCCACTGCATGCCAGCAGCACACCTGAGACTCCAGATGCTCGAATGGGCGATCCCTCATCAAACATTTCCATCCCTCCAAGAAATGGCGCGTCAACGGCTGCGAGAGAATCGCCGCTGGCGAGTGAACGTGACCGCCTTGTCCGACAGCCCCAAGTCATCGGCTCCCCTGCCCGCACACCGCACAAGCTTCCCCAAAGGCCTCAAAGTGGCTCTGGCTCTCGCCCGGACACCCCACGCAGCACCGGCGGCAGCAGCCTGCATCATTCTCATTCCCGCCAACACAGCCGCAATTTGCAGGCCGGCAATGCCTCAGCAAATTCAGCGCCTTCGCATATTACTTCCGCGACAGCTTCGACCCCACCGCGAACGTTCAAAACCTTGCGTGTGAACAGGGAGAAACATGCACAGACGTGGCTGAATAAGCTACGCCAGTCCCCAAAGCTCGCTGCGGAATCTTCTTCCATCGATGTTTCCCGTGAAGGTGAAGCATCAATGACCTCCATTGAACTGGATCTCGATCAGCCCCAACCTGCAGGCAGCAGTTCCATCCATTCTGTCAAGCTGGAGGTAACTCCTGTTGCGCTGCTCAATGCAGGAACCGAGATTCCGTTCACAACCTGGCAACATCCAGTATCCAAGTCCGATCTAGCAGCTGGGCAGGCTGCCACTTCAGTTCTGCATAGCTCGCCTTCCTTCTACACTCCGCGTATCGCGAATCTCGGGCGCGACATTGTTGTGTACCCGCAGAATAACAAGGGCAAACTGCGCTTGATCCACGTTCAGACTGGTTTCAGGGCGCTGCTTTCGGCTCAGGACGCAGATGGGATTGGGAAAGAACAAGTGATCAAGGGTATTTGGGCTCTTGAACCGCATGATGCCTCGCACAGCACTTCCGATCCCGCGCAAGGATGGCTGCTAGTCGCCGCATTGAAAGAACCAGCCGATGAAGAATTCCAGGTTGTCTGGTGGCATGTCCACGAGAAATGGGGCTCAGAAGATTTGGTGGCTGGGGTTCCAGAACTGGTTACCAAAGGAACGCGCCTGGCTTGGGAAAACTCTCTGCCCGGTCAGCATTCAGGATCGGAGAACTCAACAACTGGCTCCTCAGTAAAATGGGTCACTGTGTCTTCGAACGAGCTGGTCTTGCACTGCCACACAGGCTGCTCGACTTCCACTACCCTGCGCTATTTCCTTCGTCGCGCCTCAGACAAGGAACCTCTACTACGGTGTAGCCAGGAGACTCATAGTATTTCCCTGGGGGCGACTGCGTCGCCTGACGGTAACGTCTTCGTCAGCATTGCGGGAGCTCACAAGCATCAGGCGGAAGAGCTTGCAGTCGATTTCTTCGTGGGCAATGAGCCCTTTGGAAATGACCGTTCGCAAGGTGCACTTCGGTTGCCCTGGCGCATTTTAGGTGATGGCCTCTCCAAATCAATCTCCCATGTGCAACTCATCGATGGTCAAGGTCTATCAGGACAATCCTCATCGACACAGGATGTCTTTACGCAAGTGCTTCTTCTCGGGTTTGAGAACAACACCCAGCTTAGCATTCTGCGAGTAGATGGCAATGCAAGGCGAATCGACTATCAGCTCGTTTGCAATGTCATTTTCCTTTCAAATGGAGGCGACCAGTTCAACGTCTTGCAGTATGACCGGTCCAGCAGGCTGCTTCTCGTGGGCAACACTTTGCGCTCCTCGGTCTTTGCCCTGCCACTCCTCTTGGATTTGGCGGATGATCGGTCGAAGGCAATTCGTCTCGGTGCTTTGCAGGAATTCCCTCTGCCCGAGCCATGCATCTCGTTCACCATCGTTCGGGAGGAACTGGTCGACCCAAGCTATCGGCTCTTTGCCATGCACCCTGCCGGTATCCATCTCGTGCAGCTGCCTTCCATCCGACGGGGGAACAAGCAGAGGCTGAAATCCATCCCGGCTTCAACGCAAGGTTCAGCAGCCACCAGCAGTGCGACTTCACCCATGCCATTCTCGGATGCTCGGGAGAACCTGGCAACACCTGACAATTCAGGCGCAGGTAATGGCACGAGGTTGGCGCCTGAGAATGGCTTGAGCGCTGGGCTGAGGCAGCGATCGGAGCAGCTAACATCTTCTAGCACAGTGGCTCCTGCGCTGGCAGAAGTGAATGTGCACGCTATTCAAGATGCCTTTATTTCCTCTATCAATGAGCACCTCCGTTCCGCGCTCCATGACAACCTGCAAGTGCAAGCGCCCGGTTTGGCGGCCCAGGTCTCGCAGGTACTTGCATCGGCACTGCCCGATGTGTTGGCGCGTGCCATGAACAGGGCCGACACAATCAGTCGTTTGACGAAGGTGATCCAAGCTGCCATCTCCGCTCCAGTGCAGCAGGCAGCTATCTCTGCAATTAATCAGAGCTTGCAACATCGTTTTTCGGAGGTCATGTCTGATTTGGCTTTCCGACTTGAACATCACATTTCTGCGGAGATGCTTCAGACCCGTAAGGATGCCATTGCCGAGCAGAGTCAAGCTCTAGCTCAGACGGAAGGAACAATCGGTGAGATCTACCGCAACATGAAAGGGATGCAAGCGCAAATGGATGCTCTCCGCCAATCCAATGCCGATCTGCAGCATGATCTGCGTAAATCCCTACAGGCGCAGCAGGGAATACTTGAAGCTGTTCGCGAAGCGACCGAAGCACTGGGTCAGCACCAAGCCAGCAATCCGCCACGCACTACTGCCGGTCCACCACAGGCAGAAGCCTCCAATCCAGTGCCTGCTGCGAAGCCGTTCAATGTCGAGGACGCGTTCTTGGCCGTTCTGTCCGACCCCAACATCCAATCAGACGCGCGCCGACTCCAGATGCTACTCCAGGATCTCGGTCTGAACTTTGCTTCTCCGAGCGCTGCGCTGGCATCCGTCTCCCAACCAGTACTGCTTGCGCTTCTGCACCGCCTCGCCACGTGCCTATGGACATTCGCACAGCCGGACGAGCCAGAGCAGACGACCCGCGGCATGCGCCCGGCGGCTGCCATCCCATGGCTCGAAGCGGTCGCGGCGCGCATCGACAAGCGTGATGCGCAGATCGCGGCTGCGTACCAGAGCATCTACCCGCGCTTGATGAATCAACTGTTCGAGGCCCACGCAGCGCTGTCCCGCCCTGGTGGCAAGCACAGCCCGTGGTGGACGCGAGAGCAGCTGATCGAGCGCATTACCAACCGCCTTATCTCGTAAAATGCGACAAGCATATCGCATTGCACTCATTGCTGGAGATTGCCTGCTCATCCCACATCCCTGTTGGCCCACGTATACGGTCGGCTGTACGCCACCACGCACGCACGCAATCGCAGATGCACATGTTCTGCACGCACGAAATGCCAAAATCCCTCAGAATTTGAATCATGCAAGAGGGGACGTATCGCTATGGTGTGCTGTGGTATGAGTGACTACATTGCTGATATTATTGAGAACGTGATGCTAGAACCAGGAACGCCTTTGGTTCGACTTTCTCCTACTCTTGCGAAGTCGAGGATGCAAAGTTGCGAGCGCGATCCGAAATGCTGGGACACAGTCCCGCTGCGATAATGATAAACTGGGCACAGCTGGCCGATAAAAAGGGTCCGTTTTTCTTCCAAATCAAACAAGGAGAATAGCACCGCCCACAGAGGCAGCGATTACCGCTATGGCCAGCGTCCTGACGCAGGCCGTGCTCTTGCTTGAACTGCTAGTGGTTCCGGATGCCGCCTGTGCTTGCGCCTCACTTGCACTTCCGCCAGCGCTCGACTGTCTGTTGCCATTCGCACTCCAACCGGGTGGTCTCCAGCCGGTAGGCAACGCGTCGCTGTCAAAGAGCGCTGCGCGGCCCACGGACGAGCCAAAGACGAGCGCAGGGTTGTGGTCGGCGTCAGCAATGATGATGAGCCGGTGCGCGATAGCGTTGCGTGAGACGTTTGACCAGTCGGGCAGCGGAGCGGAAAACGTCGCGTTGAAGCCGGTCATGTCAGAATCGGTGCGCGCGAGAGTGTTGATGTACTTCCAGTACGCCAGGTTGCGGTCGCGTCGCTTAGCGCCACCTTGCAGCTGTGCCATGCAGAACTCGTCGCCGGATGCGTCGACGTCTTGCAGGCCGATGAGGCTGACGACGTCGCGCTTGATGTACTGCGCAAAAAAGTCGATCGGCTGCTTTGCAGGTGTTGCCGACGTCGACAAGCCGACGTCCTGCGTATAGTTGTCAAAGCCATAGCGCCAAGTGTTGTAGTACTGGCACGTCTCGATGGTCGCTAGGGACGGGTCCACCTGCGGTCGGTCAGTGGTAAAATAGACACACGACGAAGGGTCGCCGTAGACGTAGCGGACGTGGATGCCGTCCGGCGCATCGCGGCCGACGACGGCGTAGCGCTGCATGAGCTGCGCGCCGCCACCATGGCCGACGAGCGTGACGTTTGTCATGACGGGGTACTTTGACTTGTCGGCAAACTCGGCGACAAAGGCGTCGAGGACTTCGAAGGCGGACGACTGCGTGCCGGACGGATGTGTCGCGAGCTCGCCGGCTTGCCATGCGTTGACGTCGGCCCAGGCGAGTTCATGCGAAGTGTACTCGCCAGAGTTCAACACCGCGGAGAAGAACTCGGGCGCGACGACGATCGAGTGCGCGTCTGCGTTGGCGACCTTCTCTTTCACTGCGCTGTCCAGCGCCGTGTTCATGATGCTCCAATACTTGTCGCCGTCGCCTGTGATACAGGCAGCGACCGTCGGGGAGATGGTGTGTATGAGTCGGTCAGCCTTCGGCGTTCAGCACCGTGGAATGACGCCAGAGAGTCCACTTACGCAACTTGCCGTGGATCATGACGAATGCATGCGTCGCAGAGCTATTCTGGGGGTTGGCAGTCCAATACGTTCCGATCAGGTCGCCCCTGGTGCCCACGGGCAGGTCGACAAAGTTGGAGCCTGAGGGCGCCTTGATTGGTCCATGTGCTGCGCCTTCGTTGTTCTTGCCGCCGCCTATGAGCGTCGAGGCGTCGCGAGACGAGAGCGAGCGATGCCTCTGAAGGTGAGATGGGGTCGATCTTCGCCGCACCTGGGCGGCTTCTATGGTGGCTTCACCTGCACCGCCCTGTACGGCATAGACCGGGGAAAGGCACAGACATAGGGTCAACAGCAGGGCGGCCAGCGCGACTACTTTTCTTGTGGCGATGCGTATCATGGTTGTTCTAAGGCATGCTCGTGGTCAACTGCGGGATCCATCGACTTGTAAGCAAGAGGCAGCAGGAAGGGGAGGAAGTGGTCTCCGCCTCGAGAATAAGAGGGATCCGGTCAAAAAGGGAAGAAGAGTGTGTCTATACTCTGTAGCAGGAGGCATGGGTGGGAATGGAAGCGACGCCCGCCTTTAACCTGCGCCAGGCTGGCCCCCGAGAGCACCAACTGCTGATGCGAGAGAAAGAGTCTAAGGGGCGAGGCGTTGGCAGAACGTGGATGGGGTTCTTTGTCTTTGTATATCTGTGCTATGGCAATCTGCAGCAGCAGTGCGCACCTGATGATATAGCTCGCAACGACTTGGCCACTTTGTTCAGTGTTCCAGTGGGACCAGCTGCAACCGTGCTCTAATACATAGAAGTAACCACGTGCTGAATGCTGACCTGGGTAGGGAGAGGGCAAGAGGAAAACGACGATTTCGAAGGACATAATTGGCGGGATTGCTGTGAAAGGATGGTGATTGCAATTTGAATCGAATGCCACAGCAACGCCAGGACTCCAATGGATTGTGCCCTTAGCCCGTGTTACCGGCTGGTTTTGTGTAAATGCAAGCCGGTTTTCGATCAAAGCGGAACTTCGCGTCACGGGATTCCACAGCCAGTGGGCACTTTGGCGCCTATGTAACAACAAACCTGCTTTGATTCTTAGAAACAGTGTATCACTGTCATGGACGTGAACAGGCCCAGTGGTACACACTCGACAATCTACAGAGCAGCGATGATTCCCCTATGGTTCCCGTTTAAAATTTCGTGCTTCGTCTGGGGAAGTGGAGACGAATGGGAAAAGGATGAGCGGTCAGTGAGGTCCATACATCCAGTACACTGAGAGAGGATGCAACGATTTCATTTCAAACACGCGCCGACAGCAGGTTGCCGCTTACAGGTTGAAACAGGCTCAACAGTGGCTCGAAACTCTCGACAATCGACGCCTGTCGGGCATTGCCAGCAACCCAGCACGCAATCAATAATGTGATCATCTTGCTCCGTCTCGTCACCGTGTGGCAGACAGGCCGCAGTAGAGCAGACCATGGCAGACCACATACGACGTGTCAGTTCTACTACCTACACACAGAACCACTCCCACCCAGCCTCAGATACCACGTGGCAAAAGAAAGAACGGCGAGCAAAATTCATGAGAAGCGAAATAATAGCGCGTTGGGATAGAAGAGCAGGTCGCAGCACATCACTATTGCTCTACTCCATGTACAATTTTCTTCATGATGACCATTTCGCATGTGGTGGGGTTGTGCACCTACTTGGAATGTGTTTGGCACGTAGATGCTATATTATAGCATGACTGGCGCACAGCCTAAGTTGCAAATCAGCGACGAGCAAATGGATCGCTCGACCTGGATTCCGCCCACATTACGATGCTAATATGCGGTCACCCTTTGTGTCGCGTCAGGGGCGTGACATGAGGGATCCATGGAATGAAATATCATGTCCCTTCGCAGATCGAATTCAGGATGGAACGCGAAATTGGATCGGTATCTGCCCATCTGCACAGGCCTACCGCTCAGGTTCTCTTGAATGGGGTAAGCAACTCTTGCCCAGCGGATCCGACGACATGCGTTTGAACCGTCGTCTCTCGCAGGCATCTGTGCTATGCCTTTTATCACAAAATTAGGTGAAAGATCAACGATGATCAATGTTCAATGAAGATCTGCAAAAGCGCCACAAGCGTAGTCATCGCCTCAATCGCATACGTACGAATACGCTGCCAACGTGACTGAGAGTGCATGGATGCGGACGGTATCCCTCATTACCTTGTAGTCTTGCGACGCTCGCGGCGCTCGGGATTATCGCCTCCTTTGAAGACATCATCGTTTCATCACGCATCAGCCAGCCCGAGCGCATCAACGCAGCGCCAACCGGTCTGAGAATTGTTTGAGACTAGGGAACGGTCCCGCACTTGCGTTCGGCTTGCTGGCGGCACTGCGCGTGGGCAACCTGTGACACTGAACCGATTTTACATTTGACTGCCCTGTAATTGACTGCAAAATCAACTTGCCTCCTACCCCCCCGAGTCTCCATCTCAATCTGCGTTTATATATTTTGCTCCCTAGAATCCACATGGATCAGCAGGCTTCCGCCAAACCACGTTAATATAGTCGCAAAATTTTCGGCTGCTGTTCATACCCCAGCAATTATGCCCGTTATCTGCTCAAAAAGCATGTGAACAAACTAGCGTTGGCCTGAAAACGGCCAAAGTGTTTTCGTGGAGCAGCTGCCCCAAATCAAACCCCGGTTACTCTCAAAGCCTCTATTTGATCACCACATATTTTCACCATAAAGGTGGAAAATTTGTCGAATCTGCTAGCGCTAGGCAATCTGTATCCGGATCACGGATAGGGGGGGG